AATGTTGCATCTAAATAGCCCACAAATACGTATGGAGTGGACTTATTATCAAGCTTCTGTTTGTTTTCCTGGGAGATGTGTGCAAACGCCTTACACCCGAAGATTCTCAAGTGAGAATATGATACCTTGGTTCCAGACCAAACTTCCTCAAGTATCGCGAAATTCAACGAAACTGAAGGCAACCTGTTAATGAGATAATAGGCTGTACGGGCGGATTCAGCCCATAATGACTTTGGAAACTTTGCCATTCTAAGCATGCATCTGACTGTTTCAACAATAGTGTTGTTCATTCTCTCTGCCACCCCATTGTGTTGTGGGGTACCAAAAACTATTGTCTCGTGCCGAATGCCTCTACTGGCACAATATGCTTCAAAAGCATTGGAAGTGTAACGCCCCAAATTTCTAGCCCAAATGATAATACAACAATTATGGCTCTTTCAAGGAAAACCAAATATAAATCTCCAAACTTACATTACATGATACAACAGTTCTTTATGCAACAATACATTAATCCAACAAGAAGTAAGTAAATAAATAAATACCCCCAAGTGGTTTACAAGTTTCCAAGGCTTGAGCCTGGTTACACAAAACGGTTATTCAAACCTACAGACATACAGCCTTTGGCTTACACACAGACTCACAACAAAATGAGAGTCTCGTACTCTCAATATACATTTCCTCGCCTTTAGTTAGGCGGCATCACCACATCTTTTCCTACACAAAAATCCCGTAGGGTGAGCATAAAGCCTAGTAGGAAATCCTTAACAAAGTATATATATTTTATACAAGTCTCAAGAGATGAAATGCACATGCCATGCTATGCCCTTTTGAAAGAAAATCACATCTTCATCTTTGAAAACCATCATACTCAATAATATCATGCAATTTCAATTCTTCAAAACTTAACAATTTATTTCAAGAGTGGTAAATACGACTCTGGTAATCCCTAGATTGGTGTCTGCAAGTAGACTATATAAGTACTACTAATTTGTCATTTTTACTAGCATTGACTGGAAGGCTCGACACCTATAATCTATCATTTTTACCAGTATTAACTGGAAGGCTCGACACCTATTCAATTTCATCTACACCACTTGTCAAGGCTTACCACCGTATTTACCCCAAAACCAATTCATGAAAACTTGTTTCTCAACATTCTTTTCTCAATGCAAGTTTTCAAATCAATTTTCAAAGTTTAATGTAATCAAATGAATTGATATGCCAATAACACAAGATGAATAACACAATTCCCTCTTCTCACGTATCCTCACCAATTAGTCATTTCAAGACTATTTCAACGTTTTGAACAATAATTTTCAAAATGAACAACAATTCTCATATTCCCTGAAATTCATCATTTATATAAATATAAATAAGAAACTTTCCAAACATCCATTTATTTTGACAAAATAAATATAATAATATCATCTCCAGGATTTTTCAGTTTCCTTAAAAAAAATCCCCAAAAATTCTCCTACGGTTTTCTCACTAAAACTATATACAACTTTTGAAAGAAAACTTTCCAAAATCATCTTTTCTTTAATCAACGAAGATCAAAACCCATAAGATCATTTTAAAAGAACAAGAGACAAACCCACTTTCAAAATCACTCAACTTCTTGAATCAACAATCAATTTTCAAAGCTATCGAAAGATGACTTCAAAAATCATATAGATCTTGCAAAAATAATATGTAACTCTAAGAAAATTCCTACCTCAAGTTTTGAAGAAGAAATGAGATGAAACCCCCAAAATCAACGGTGTCAAAACTCGATATTCACTGTACACAACGAAGCCCTCGAGAAGTTAACCAACTTTGATGAAGAACTTATAGCAGAACTCTAATGGATCTTGAGAAATCAAGGTTTTGATGAAATTTGAAGTAATGAAATGTACAAAGAAGGGAGATGAAATGTTTTTAGAGAGAGATATACAAAAGTGATCTAAAATATCAGATTCACGAACTGATATAACATGGTCCACTCGAGCGTGGAAAGCCCCGCTTGAGTGCCGACCTGCCCAGTCGAAGTGGCAAAACATGAAAAAGGGGTCAAAATCGGGATCGCTATAAGAAGTGTACTCGCCTCCATCATCTGTGCGAGGACACTTCAATTTCTTCTCTCGGTCTCTCTTTCCACCATTGCATGGAACTCCTGAAAGTGTTGGAATACCTCATCATTTGTCTTCAGGAAATACACCCACAACTTCCTTGATGCATCATCAATGAAAGTCAGAAAATACTTACGGCTGCCAAGTGACTCCACTTCGATTAGGCCACAAACATTCAAGTATACCATTTTGAGGACTTCTGCTTTCCTCTTGCTCGTTGAATTGAATGATGCTCGATGCTGCTCGCCATAAAGACAATGATCACACGGCTTCAGGGCACTCCCTTTGCATAAGGGTATCTCGGATTACTTTGCCAACAAATGCAATCCCTTCTCACTCATGTGACCCAATTTTCTGTGACATAAGTCCGGTCACTCTTTATCTTCTACTGCATTAAGACTTTCCAAATAGATCTTCATTTGAGTCTTGTACAGTGTTGAAGACATCTCTTCTTTGGCAATTGTCAAAGCTCCTCCTGTCAGCTTCCAACGACCATTTCTGAATGTACTTGTATAGCCCTGTTGGTCCAGGGCACTTCCAGAGATAAGATTGAAGCACAAATATGGAACATGCCTTACATCTTTGAGAACCAGCTTATGTCCGACATTAGTCTGAATACTAATGTCTCCAATGCCCACAATCTCCGAATAACTAGAATTCCCTATTCGAATAGTGCGAAAATCTCCAGCGTTGTACGAGCTGAAGAGTTCTCTGTGGGAAGTGGCATGATAAGATGCAACTGTGTCTATTACCCATTCTGTGTAGCTGTGGTCAGCCACGTGATGGCAGTCATCCTCTTCACCAACTGCAAGAAGTATTTCATCAATTATTGTGGCTGTCGTGTTCTCATCTCCCTTTGACTTACTGCTTTGGCCTTTATCTTTCCGGCTTGGGCATTTCCTCTTTATGTGACCTTCTTGGCCACAGTGAAAGCAAGTGAAGCTGGAGTTACCTTGATTTTTATTGTCTCTAGATTTACTCCTGTTGTTCCATCTGCCTCTACTTTTGCTTCTTCCTCTGCCTCTTCATCTACCTCTATCTATGTCTCTATCTTCTGTGATAAGAGCACGAGACTGATTACCTCCCATGTCTTTTCTCCTTGTCTCTTCATTGTGCATGGCGTCTATGACCATGCTCACGGTCAGCTTCCCTTTTGGTACAGAGTTGCTGAGAGAAACCACCAACATCTCACAACTGTCCGGTAAAAAACTGAGCAGTAGCACAGTTTGTATTTCATCGTCCAAGGGCATCTTGACGGTTACAAGTTGATTCACTAGATTTTTGAATTCACTGGTGTGCTCGACGACAGACACACCATTCTTCAACTTCAGATTTACAAGCCTTCTCATCACCAAGGCTTTGTTCCGGGCCGCCTTTGATTAGTACATTCCTTCTAACATTGTCCAGAGGACATATGCATCTGTTTCCTAGGCGACATAGTGGAACACACTGTGGTCTATCCATTGTCTGATCTGACCGACAGTCTTCCGGTTTATCTTTATCTAGTCTTCATCATTCTTTGCTTCCGATTTAACCCATTTTAGAGCAATAAGGTCAAACAGGTCTTTACAGTATAGGACATCTTTCGTCCGCGGCTTCTAGATTCCATAATTGGAAGCATTCAACTTTATCATCAATCTTGAAATTGATGTGGATTCCTTCATCGTCTTCTTACTTATACAAAAAAATCTGAATTTGGACAAACAGACCACACCGTTGAGTTTGGAATGGTCAAATTAGCTAGAAAAGCACTTTTTTCACGTTTTCAGGGACCTGAATGAAATTTCTCCAAACTCAAGTGGCCAAATTGCAATTTCAAAAACTGTAGGGGTTGAAATGCAATTTACCACAACTTCAGGGACCAAATTGTAATTTAAAAAATTTCAGGGGTTGAAATGCAATTTACTACACTTCAGGGACTAAATTGCAATTTCAGAAAGTTAGGGAGTGAAATGTAATTTATCACAACTTCAGGGGCTAAGTTGCAATTTTAGAAACTTTAGGGACTGAAATGCAATTTACCACAACTTTAGGGGCTAAATTGCAATTTTAGAAACTTTAGGGACTGAAATGTAACTTACCACAACTTTAGGGACTAAATTGCAATTTTAGAAACTTTGCTGATACAATGATGACGTCATAGTGACATCAGCCTTCTTCAAATTCCTTGCTGAACTGAAATTTTCGGCAAAATTATAACGAATCTTCAACAAGTTCTACGACATTCGTTTTGGCTCCGATTTTGATGAATTTTATATCGCCGGAATCATTTCGAAGAAACGCACCTCCTGTTGCGCTCAAAAGTTGATTTGGAGCAACTTCAAAATTTGACAAATTTTGAAAACCACACTGTTTTCCACTAACCGGCGCTCTAATACCACTTGTCAGGATTAAGAACACTCAAAAATCAATCACACACAAAAAAGAGACACAAGAGATTTACATGGTTCGACAATAGTCTACATCCACGAAGAGATATTTCTCACTATAGAATTATCTCGGAGGGAGATTACAACTCACACCTCACAACCCTCTATAGAATTCACTCTCTTACACACAGATTATACACTATGTATTGCCCATCTCTTCTCTTCCTCCCAGCCTCTATATATATATACGGGGAGAGGGAAACAAAGTCAAGAGAGGAGATTTATTGGGTTGGCTTCCACCTGCCATCTTTTCTCCTGCTTCTTGACTTGGGGAGCCACCCTTCACGTGTCATCTTCCCTCATACTTCTTGACTTGGAGAGCCACCCTTCAATAATAGCTCCATGTAGGCTGGAGCTAACATTTCAAGGGCATCAAATATGAATTATGAGTTTAGTAGCCTTTATTCAAGTCGAATTATGTTCTAGATATGTGTAAAGTCTCTTTTGCTAATGACAACCTATGATGAAGATAACAGTAAAAGGTACATTGCTAGCATTTCAAATAAACCTCATGTAAAGCCAATGTGAACAGATAAGTGAAGTCCATTACCAGTATTAGATGAACAAAATTTCCATAATTCTGAATACGTTTTAGTTATCTACTTTCTGTTATTTTCTATTTCATTTAACAAAAAATAACATTGAGTAGAGTACTCAAAAGCATTATTTTCGTTCCTTCCTTGCATTTCCTTAGAGGGAAAAGAAAAACTTAGATGTACTTGAAAATTTAAAGCAATTTCAAATCTTTACATAACTAAACTTAATCCATTTGGATACTCAAAAAAAATAAAATAAAATAAAATAAAAAAGGAAGATGAAAGAAAACTAAACTTTATTAATTAGAAGAAATTTCATCATTTGCAATTTTAAACTTTATTAATTAGTGGCATAGTTATCCAAAAAACTACATATAACATAAGGCTCAAAATTATACTTTTTTTTTTCCTGGAAACCAAACAGAGCAGAAAGAAAAAATTAATAGCAACTTGAAAAATCAAACCAATCCAAAATAGTTACATCATCAAGTTTACTCCCAGCTGCATCCAATTCTCTAACTGTTGCCACTGAACGGCAGCAGCAACATCAACAGCAAGACGCAAAAGAAGCTTGTAATAACAGCAATGCCCGTGACAGTGGCGACAGCAAGGAGCAATTCTCCAACCTTGAAGATGCTGATCTCCATGAAAGGTATAAATAAAACATCAATTTCAGATTCAGCTCTATACTGTTTGGGTTATATTCTGCAGGTTGCTCTTCTTTGGATAGTTTTGCATTAGGTTTTCAATTGTAGGTTTTTTTTTTATTTTTTATTTTAATAATTTTCAAACTTTGTGTTTGAAATGGGTGCAGTTTAGAGCACATCCTCCCTGATAACCTCTTTGCTTCTCCTATAAAATCGGCCGGTGAACACTATATTTTCTCCACTGCTTCACCAGAAGCCGATGATAGCACCTTAGTAACAACTACATCATCTAACAACATCCCAATGCTGCCCACCACTTCCACCCTCAATATGGCTTCTCTGTTATCATGTTCTTTCCAAATGCCAAGGTACCACTGCTTCTGCTGGTGCTGCTGCTGCTGCTCTCTCTCTCTCTCTGACTAGAGTGAGTGAAGTTAATTCAAATTAGTATTGTTGTTTACAAGGTTTTCTTCTGGGCAAGAAGCCATTGAAATGTAGGTGATGGGGGTGACCATGATCAGCATGTTGGGCGTTGACTTTAGCTTGGGTAAGAGACTATCAATGTTGCATTTCTTTGATCATGCTGCCCAATTTTTACATAATTTGCACAATTTCTAGTTGAATATTGATTCTTGGTAATGTTTGGCATTTTATTTTTTCATTGTTGCAGAAAAGTTGAGTAGAGCATATAGAAGGAAGAAAAAGTCATCTAGCTGTATAGCCAAACCATACCATCAACAAAAAAGAAAAAGATCTGTAAGGAAGATCTCCTCAAGATTATTGTCATCATCAATACCATGCTCTAGTTACAAGTATACATAATGCATGCATAAAGGACAGATGAACTAATTTATGGGAGTGGGGTCTGTCTTTATTTTTGTACCCTCTCTGTAGTTGTAGTTGTAGTTGTAGTTGTGTGCTGGACCACACACAGTACAATATATATAGCATAACAAAACAGTTACTAGTAACTCTTGTTATATTGTTAATTTACCTTTTTTTTTCAAAAATTTATTATATATAATATTGTTTATTATCGATAGCACACTCTCTTGAGGTGAAAGTGAAAAAATAAAGAAAGTAGGAAAATATAAGTTACAAAGATCTGAAACAGAACTGTAACTACTACACTTAGCAATCCCAAAAGGGTAAAGAGTGGTGTAAACTTTAGTGGTTAAAAGCAGGTCTTATGTCACTCTTTTTTTTGTTTTAAATGTTCTTGTTATTGCAGAGCATCTGTCATCCCGTGGATCATCACTCAAAAGAAAGAGTGGAGATCATCACTCAAAAGAAATAAAAAAGTTGCTAGTGAGAGACAGAGGGAGGGAAAAAAATGGGGGAGAGAGAAAAAGGATGTTCTTTTAAGTGATTAAAGGTTACTTTAGGGGATCTCTTTTGTCTCATTTTTGGTTTCTTTTAGGTGGAATGAAGGGAGGAGGGCCACACTGTCACATGGGTGCTGACGCCATTTGAATGGTATTAGGGTACCAAAGACACTCCTTTCACTTTCAGTCCCTACTAGCCTCAATTCAGAATGGAAAATATATATTATAGGTTTTTGGCCTTTTGTTTTATGGGTAATGCTGCCCTACCCTTATGTTTTGGCATGGTGTTTAATTTATGTCATAGTGGGTGGTACATTTACATGTTATTGAACCCATCAGGGTAGCTTAAGAGTATCTCTTTGGAATTGGGTGTTAGTGTGTAAATAGACAAAAAAAAGGGTAAAAGTGAGACTCATCAATTTTGTGTTAGAATCGTTCATTTAGTGAGTGAACGAGTGTTCCATTGAAGATACTAAGGTGTGTGTTGGATAAGAGTGGTGTCCACTTGAGTACGTATAAATGTGTTCCACATGCATGAACGCCCCAATTGACATCCTCTGCTAACATCTGACCCGACCCTAGTTCCATGTTCAAGTTCAAGGCATCCATTGGAGATGTCCTTAGTGTAGCAGTTTAAGGTTGTCACTGGGACAAATCCTAAGTTAGGAAGTCTTGTGTTTAACTCTCTGGTTTTATCTGATATCTGTGACTCGTAAGCATCCGGGATTTTACCTTGTAGTAGGGGTAGGTCTAAAGTGACTCTGTCTTGAAGCTTTCTTTGCCATAAAAAAAAGAGAATGAAAAAAAATACATGTTTTTTTAATTGATTGTTGCCCTCCAATTGTGTTTAAAATTGCACTTTGACCAACATTGTTGAGCCCTAAGCAGAAAGTATCAAAAGTGGTGTGTGAATGGTGGTTGTGTTGTGTGTATTTTAAACTCATCAAAATGAAAAACAGTCACGGGTTACTGTAGAATTTCTCTCCTTTGAAGTCAGTGGAGATCCTGCTGTTTCTGTGTCTCTTTTTGATTCTTTGTATATATGCTCAGACAAAACAGGGCATTATGGCCAAGTTTGGAAAGTTCAAAATAATCAATCTTTTTATTTTATTTATTTTTTTTTCATCACATTATCTCTCTATTTTTCTGTACATCTTTTCGTAAAAAGACAAAAAGTAAACTTATTTAGGTCATCCCAAACAACCCATATAAAAAATAGAAAATTGGTTATTGGGCCCCACCCTGCTTTGTAACTATCTTCCATATTATACACACAAATGTATATTGAAAAATGAATTAATTTTTTTTTATAAAAAACAATGATGTTGTCTCCTTAATGATATTTTTAAAAAATATGAGGATAATATTGAATGTTTTGGTGTGAAATGAAGGGATTCGAAGAAGTAATTTTGTTATGAAAATTTTATACAAAATTTTTGTTTCTATATAATTATTTATGTATATTATATGTTGTTTGCTGGAGCAATCTGTGGTATGAAATTTGACATTAAGAGATTTTATAGCTGGTAATTTATAAAGGGAAATTTAACTATAAACCCTTTTTAGCTTCCTTTCATTGTTAAAATGACTAAAAAAAAAATTATACTTTCTAAACCCCCTCATAATTATAAAATCTTGCATAAAGGACAAAATTTATTATTTAAATATTTTATAGGACTATTATACCCTCAACTTCTACATATATAATCAGCTTCGTCATCAACTGTATCATAATCACCATAGTTGCATCTTCCAAGGTTCAGTAGAAGGTCGTCGACAAGCCGCCGCCATAGTAGCGTCTTCCAAGCTTCAGCAGAAGGTCCTCTCTTCATCTTCATAATCAGCAACGATGAGGCTTTGAGTATGTTGAAATTGAGTGAGGATGTCGTTGGAGATTCGAAAGCTAGGGTTTCGGAGCAGATGGAGATTTGGAGTGTGGTGGAGATGGCTCAATTGGAAGCGGAGAAGAAACATGATGAGGTTGTTGATGAGATGCTGGCGATGTTGAATGCGAAGGCTGAAGCTTCGAGATTGAAAGAAGTTGAACAGGAGGTTGGGAAGGATGTGGATGAGGAACAGTAGAATATATGTATATATATATATATATATATATGAGTGTTGTTATTAGCATTTTATAAATTATTTTCGACCTTTCAATTTTTAGCTTTTTTATTATTATTACAATAATAGCCTCAAATATGATTACTACACAGGACATCATTAATTTTGAGACATCCTATCTCACTATTAAACCTACACACCCACTATTATAATTTAATATTTTCAATAAAGTATAATGCAAAAAAATAAATATATTTTTTCAAATGAAGGCAATAAAAAGATAAAATACATTAGCTGACATTAAATGAAGATAATTTTATTTTAATAAAAAAACATTAACTGACATTAAATGACATTAACTGTCATTAAAAAGATATAATACAAACTTAATCCTACTCTCCAGCTCGAGACTACCACATTCAGATTCACAGAATAGATTCACAAAACAGATTCACAAAAAAAATTTAAACAGATTCACTGAAAATGAGAAAGTAAAATTTTACTTTTATACAGAGTAAAATTTTACTCTGAAATATATAGTGAAGATGGCTTAATAGGAGAGCTGATAGATATGAGGGTAATATAGTAAAAAAAACAAGTTTTAAAATATTAGGGGGTTTTGAAAGTACTTATATAATTCTTGTCCTTTTGAAAGACAAATTAGATAGTGAGGGGGCTATCACCAAATCCCCCATTTATAAAGTTCACAACCTACAAGGGTAACTCAGTTGGTTAACGGTAAGAGATCAAGGACATAAGAGTATGCTACTCTTTAAATCTCAGTTTTGAATCCCACCCCGAACTGGCTATTGGCGGAACACTGCGTGTTTGCCCGGTCGATTGACTCAGGGTCCCGAGATTAGTCAAGGTGCGTCACTTCGAAAGGGTGTTGACTCAGATACATAGTTATATAAAATAAAATAAAATAAAATAATGTTCACTTGATTTGTTGAATTTTGTGTAATTGATTGATTCACTTTATATGCGAGATTTTTTAAAGTGTTAACATTGCTAGGCCAGCATCATTCACCTCTATCTACAATAATATAGCTGGCTGATTTGAAATTTCTCTACTTGATTGGCGGGGAAAACAAATAAAATCATAGGCTATGTTTGGATGTTTGATTTATGGAAGGATTTTTACTTCATTTTTTATCTCATTTTTTTCCCCTTTTCGTTTACATATTGCCTAAAATGATTATTCTCATTTCTTACCCATTTTTTTTTTTAAAAAAAATTGAAATACATTTGATAAATAAGTTTTTTATTTTTAATTTAAAAAACAAGTGTAATTAATAAATCTTGTAAAATTCTATCAATCAATATATTGTGTGTCAAAAAGTACGTATTTTAGTCAAAAAAGTAAAAATATTTCACTTCATTAATCTCATAAATAAGCTTCTAAAAACAAACTAGGAAAAATCATGCACAAGTAAAATCTTTTTAAAATAATTATCGTTTTATGAAAAGTTTATAATTTTAATTATTATTTTTTTAATTTTTTTTTCTATTAATCTAAAATTACTTTTACAAACTTCCACTGATTTGTTCTCTCTAATGAAGTGGAAAAAAAGAGAGCAGAGTTTGTAACATATATTTTAGAGTTCGTCCAACTCGGCTGAATTGATCTAACTTGATTAATTTTGGGCGGATTTGTGTTTTTTAGTGGACGGATATGGATGAAATATTTTAAAATTCACAGATATGGTTTGGATGGTGGATTGATCATTCTACACCTGCATAAACCCAATCCGCTCATAGATGAAGTTGGAAAAAAAAGAAAAGAAAAATAAATTGCTAATAAGTAACAATATAGAGTAGAAATAATAAAATATATATTTTTGTGAATTATAAAAGTTATTTTTGTGAATTATAACATATAGATGAAGTTATTGGAGACTATAAAAGTTATGAATTATAATTCAAAAAAATGTTCAAAATTTCTAAAGTCCAAACTGTCAAACCGATCGCATCTATCTGCAGATCCGCACGGTTCGCTCAATCTGCATTCGCCAAATCGGTAGACGGATTTTTTTATCAATTTACATAATTTTAGACAAATAACGAATGAGATGTCACCCGATCCGATCCACAATCACCCTAATATATTCTTTCCTTGGGGCCGCTTGCCCTGCCGTCAGCCTTTTCTTGCCCAAGTGTTTGAAATATGTTTAGGCAAAAGCTTGGGTCTACATGGCCTTGTCCACTCAAATGTTTTTAGGCTTTAGTAACGAAGTGGTGTGTGAATGGTGGTTGTGTTGTGTGTATTTTAAACTCATCAAAATGAAAAACAGTCACGGGTTACTGTAGAATTTCTCTCCTTTGAAGTCAGTGGAGATCCTGCTGTTTCTGTGTCTCTTTTTGATTCTTTTGTATGTATGCTCAGACAAAACAGAGCATCATATAGAAAATAGAAAATTGGTTATTGGGCCCCACCCTGCTCTGTAGCTATCTTGCATGTTATACACACAAATGGATATTGAAAAATGATTTATAAGTTTCTTATAAAAAACAATGATGTTGTCTCCTCAATGATATTTTTAAAAATTATGAGGGCAATATTGAATGTTTTGATGTGAAATGAAGGGATTTGAAGAAGTTATTTTATTCTGTAGGAAAATTTTGTACAAAATTTTTGGTTCTCTAT